GGCTAATGTGACACTTCGTTGATTTCTTTGTCCAGCAAAACAAAAGGTTTCTTTTGTTTAGTGTTGGACAAGAAGATGCCGCTAGGAAAAGTAGTTTTTTGCATACGCTATTTCTCAAAAACGAAGAGCAACCCAGCAAAAAAAACTACAGAGCAATGTTTCTCAGGTAAAACGAAGCCTGCATGCCAAAATTCGGCTATTTTTGAGCACTTTCAAAAATAGCCAAAAAACCTAGGGGACATTCTTGCCCGTGGCCTTTCAATTTATGGATAAAATTAGACTGATTCAAAGATAACAAAACATCATTGTGGTTCATTAGTACCACTTATGAGGGAGTCTGTAGTATTAAAATTTTTTATATACTTCCCAAGTCACTTGATGGAAATTATATCAAAGAGAAATCTTTGTGGGAGTAAAATTTTGACATGTGTTAAAACAGTAACATTGAGGCACATAAATATAATGATGTTGAATGACAGTTTATTATGTTGAAATTCTGACAGCAATATGAAAACCTAATGAGGATCCTGCGGAATTGTGACAAGAAAAAATTTCAAATATTTTCACGAGGCTATTTCCTTAGGTCCTCATTTAATTCCAAAGGATATGCATAAGCTCCCTAACTGGCCCTCAATAGAAACTTGCAATGTGTACCACCTTGTAAGCAGTCAGACATCATAACAATCTTTGAAATAGTTGGTAATAATTGCTACTTACTGTATAGAGCCAGCTTTAATACCAAGATCCTTACCAAAAGCTAAGACTTTATACCTTTTTATTAAATATTGTGTACACGTACTGCAGTCAATTTGCACTGATGCATTGTTAGATAAAGGATTTGTATGAAAAACTTTTTTTATGAAGTAAAAAGAAAAAATTCTGGGCACATTGGATACATGTACCTCTCATCACAAAAATGTTAAGGCCTCTCATCCTACCCACCCCTACCTAATCAGTGACCTCCTCTTTTCCACTCCCCCTTGCCCTTGCAAAGTAGGCCACTTTTGGTATATTAAAATTCAAACATGGCTTTGGGTCCTGGGAGAATAAAACAAAAGAAATAAATTTTTCATCCCTCAACTTGGATGTGATTTCTTATATTGTTTTATTCCCCCATGCCTCGGAGCCAATTAAGAATTTTAATGTTATCGGCATATTATTAGGTATTGGGATAATGCATTTATTTAGCACTTGTGGTACTTCAACACTCAATTATGTGTCTATTTATACATTAACATGGATTAGTTTATTTTATTGTTATTTAATTCTCTTTTCTAGGAGCGGCTCGAGGTAAAGTTTAAAGGCCTAGTTGATTCAGTTAGGTGTGAATGCAACATATCATTTCCTAAAATTAATTTGTGTGTATTATCATGCAACTTTTATATATTAGATAATTCTAAGTGAAATTTTGCAAAAAATGAAAAATAAAAAAATTGCAAATAAATGCACCTTTAATGAAAAGGTAATGCTTTATTTTGTCTTATGTAGGTTGCCTGTATTTTTGTTGTTAGTAGGAATTACACAAACATTTCAATACAATTATCATTGTTACTTTTTGCCTTTAGAAATGAAATGTTTCTTCTTGAGAAAGGAAAATTTACCCAAATTCAAGAGGAAAATCAGGTACAGTAACATGATAAAACATGATGAAGTACATGTAATGAAAAATAATGCTTCTTAAAGGAGATGTCTACACTGTACTTTAAGGGGAGGTTTCTGCCAGTGGTGGTGCCTGTCGACGCAGAGACTTATTTTGGCTTGTCACGCAATCTCTTCAAAGAGTGTGTGACAAGCTGAAAAAGTTTAGCAGAGTTATGATCATTCTGTTACATGTAGCAGAGGTGAATGTTCATCGAAGTCAAACTGTTATACGTAAAATTATATTGTTGTGGTTTTCTTCAGAAATTAAGAGATGAAGTTAAATCACTTAAAGGAATTTTGGAGGTAGGAAAGCAGAGTTTGTGAATTGCATTGTTTTTCAAAGTTCATGTTATTTAATTGTATGAAACTTTTCGTAACAGTTTTGCAACTTTTTTTT